TCTACTATTGGTTTTATTAGTTTCCATGGCGGTATTTCAGAAAAATTAGAAGGTTTTATAATATCCAAAGGTAATTCAGAATCTCTGAATCTCTGAGTTTTTTAGATCTTAGACCAAGGGGTTTTACACATGATTTTCTCTTATGATACAAGTCTTCGTACTGCGGATGAAAAACACAATTATAAGCAGGATTATTAACATTTGCTTTTAATTTCAAAATATACTGCAAAGTAAGTTTAATTCTTCGTAAGTCGAGAGGTGGTTCGTTTGCCTCAACATATAGACTGTCTTTAGGAGAAGTTCGAAAAGCTCCCAAGCACAGTCGGAGGCCTTGATGGTGAATTGCATCAAGAGCTTTTACGTATGAAGTTCTTGCAGAGCCATATACAATACAGCCATAATCTAACTTGGATCTAACTAAAGAACGATATAGTTTTAAAAGAGTATCTTTATCTGCCCCCCATTTTGTATTTGCAATTACTTTAATAACATCTAAGGCCTTTGAGCATTTTTCTTTTAGCATTTTAATGTGATACAAATGAAAGTTTACTATCAAAAATCATACCTAAAAATTTTATCTCCTTAGCAACTTTTATAGGATTTCCATCTAGCAGCAAATGTGGTTCGTCATGAGCCTTCCGTTTAGAGCAGAAATGCACACAAGCGGTTTTACTTTTTGAAAACTTGAATTCATTTGTATCAGCCCAGTCTTGAATTTTATATAGGCAAGACTGTAATTTTCGCTCAATATAATTCATATTTTTAGCTTTATAACAAAGAACAAAATCATCTACATATAAACTTCCATGCATATTATTTTTCAGTACTTCAGCTAAGCTGTTAATTTTTATACTAAATAAAGTGACTGATAAAATACTCCCTTGTGGCACACCCATTTCCTGTTCGAAGCTTTCCGAATAAGTAGACCCCAAGCGGACTTTAAAATGTCTATCATTTAAAAAATTCTTGATAAAAATTGGTAAATGCCCTTTAAGGCCCATAGTGTCGAGATCTTCTAAAATGCCATGTCTCCATGTAGTATCATATGCCTTTTCTAAATCAAAAAACACAGATACAACATGCTCTTTTTTGATAAAAGCATCTCGAATATAGGTTTCCAGTCTTACCAACTGGTCAATTGTACTTCGGTTTTTTCTAAAACCACATTGTATATTAGATAGAATATTATTGGTTTCAAGAAACCATATGAGGCGTTCATTAATCATCCTTTCCATGGTTTTACATAAGCAGCTTGTTAAAGCAATTGGTCGATAATTATTTGGATCCGTATGATCCTTTCCAGGTTTTGGAATAGGAATAATTGTAGCTTGGGTCCAGGAAGGCGGAAATTGACCTCGCTCCCAAATTTTATTAAAAATTTTCAAAAGACATTCTTTACTGTTTATAGGAAGGTGTTTAATTATTTGGTAATGAATCTGATCTGGTCCTACAGCTGTATCATGAGACTTTTCTAAGGATTTTTGAAGTTCGTCAATAGTAAATGGGTGATTATAGCATTCATTGTTTTCAGATGTAAAATCTAACGTTTTATTTTCTTGAGATGTTTTATGTTTACCAAATTAAGGGTTCACATTTTTTGTGGAAGAATTTTTATGAATTGTACTAGCTATTTCATTGGATATTTGTTTTTTATCCGTTATAATTTGATTTCCAGCCTTCAGATGTTGATATTTTTCAGGACCTTTTCCTTTTATTTTCCTTATTGCGTTCCAAACCTTATTGATAGGGGTGTGTGAATTAAGGTTGGACACGAACTTTTTCCAAGATTTTCGTTTATTAAAATTTATAGTTCGACGAGCTTTTGCTCTAAATATGCGGAAATTGCTTAAATTTAGAGATGTTGGTAATCTATTAAACTGTCTTTCTGCTTTTTTGCGAGCTTTAATAGCATCATTACATTCTTCTGTAAACCATGGTTTTTTGATTCTAGTAGAATTTGTCGAGGTTTTAGGTATGCATTTATTCGCAGTATTTAATAGTATTTCAGTAAATTTTTGAATGGGATCAGGATTGTTTTCAAACTTTTCATCCGAAATATTTTGTAAACACATAATTTCAAACTGTTTCCAATCAGCCTTGTTAAGTTTCCAGTTTTGAGTAGAACTATTTTCTTCGGGTTTGTTTACTTTAATTATAATTGGGAAATGATCACTTCCACATAAATCATCATTTACTGACCAACTGAAATCCAAGAGTAAAGAAGGATCTACTAAAGTAATATCTATTGAAGAATATGAACCATTACCCGGATGCAGGTAAGTGCTAGAGCCGTCATTAAGTATACAAAGATTATGATGTGATATTGCATCTTCAAGTTTTTTCCCTTTATCTGTCATTTTATCGCTGCCCCATAATGGATTATGGGCATTAAAGTCACCCACAACCATAAATGGAGCAGGAAGTTGTTGTATTAATTTTGTAAGTTCTAAAGTTTGTAGATTATAGTTAGGAGGTACATACACAGAGCAAATTGTAATTGTTTTTTCAAGAGAAAGGCGTACAGCTACTGTGAATGTCATAGATGAGGACACCCCAGTTTTAAAGACTGTATCTGATATTTTCCCAGGAAGTGATTATGCAGATTTATTTCGAGGACAGGGTTGCCTACCAGAAACTCATTCATTCAAAATTGATTCAAGTGTACAACCTGTTGTTCACCCGCCAAGAAAAATTCCCATTTCGTTATTGGATCAAGTGCGCGCTGAACTTAAGTCTATTGAGGACTTTGGTGTGATTATTAAACTAACAGAACCGACTCCGTGGTTCAACAGCATGGTAGTGGTGAACAAAGGACAGAAGATTCGCATTTGTATTGACCCAAAGGATCTTAATAGGACCATACTAAGAGAACATTTTCCATTAAAAACAGTAGATGAAGTCATAGCCAACATGTCAAACGCCAAAGTTTTCAGTAAGCTTCATGCTGTGTCTGGCTTTTGGCAGATCAGGCTGCATGAAGAAAGCTCGAAACGTACAACTTTCAACACTTCATTTGGGCGTTTTCATTTTACAAGATTACCATTTGGTATAAAATCAGCATCTGAAGTGTTTCAATAACCTCACAAATGGTAAAAGACAGACCAGGAGCAGAGGCGATAATAGACGATATAAATGGGGTTCAACAGAACAGAAACATGATGAACGTCTCAAGAAGGTATTGGAATAGGCCAGAGAGTTCAATCTCAAACTTAGCTTGGACAAGTGTAAGATACGTTGCAAAAGTATGAAATATGTTGGACATATGTTGACAGATGAAGGCGTGAAACCGGATCCAGAGAAAATCCGTGCCGTCATAGCTATGGAAAAGCCAACCCACAAAAGTGAATTACTTACTTTTTTTTTGGATTTGTACAGTACCTCGGAAAATTTATGCCTCGGATGTCAGCACACCACTGCAGAAACTCACTGAAAACGATGCAGCTTGGAACTGGACAGCTCAGCATGAGGAGAGCTTTGAAACATTTAAAACGATTGCAACGAACGCACCTGTTTTGAGGTATGATGACCCTAGTTAGCTCTACTGGTCACAGACCAGAAGAGCTTATGCGATGGTCATGCGTCCGGCGTCCGTCCGTCTGTCTGTAAACAATTTTTCAAAACGATACTCCTCCTACAATTTTAGTCTGATTTCAATATTACTTGGCACACAAGTAGACTACATTAAGATACATAGAATAGTGCATCCGTTTTTGATTTCGATGAACGGTGTTGCCATGGTTACTAAAAATAGAATTTTCTGTGAAATTCCTTAAAAACGCTACTCCTTCTACAGTTCTGGTCTGATTTCAATATAACTTGGCACACAAGTAGACTACACTAAGATTCATAGAATAGTGCAACGGTTTTTCATTTTGATGAACGGTGTTGCCATGTTTACTAAAAATAGAATTTTCTGTGAAATTCCTTAAAAATGCTACTCCTTCTACAGTTTTGGTCTGATTTCAATATAACTTGGCACACAAGTAGACTACAATAAGATACATAGAATAGTGCATCGGTTTTTGATTTCTATGAACGGTGTTGCCATGGTAACTAAAAAATAGAATTCTCTGTGAAATTCCTTTAAAACGCTACTTCTACAGTTCTGGTCTGATTTCGATGTAACTTGGCACACAAGTAGACTACACTAAGATACATAGAATAGTGCATCGGTTTTTAATTTCGATGAACAGTGTTGCCATGGTTATTAAAAATAGATTTTTCTGTGAAATTCCTTTAAAACGCTTCTCCTTCTACAGTTCTGGTCTGATTTTACTGGATTTACTCATATTACGTCTAGTCCTTATTTTGCTCAGTCTAACGGTCAAGTAGAAAGAATGGTCCAAACAGTGAAACGCTTACTTACGAAGTCATCAGATCCATACAAGTCTTTGATGGACTACCGCAATACGCCATTAGATATAGGTCAGTCACCAGCTCAGCTATTCTTGAACAGACGTTTGAAAACCTCACTTCCTACTACTAGTAAATTGTTACGTCCATCAAACTCAAATCAAATACAGGAGAAACTACAAAAGCGACAAGTGAAATCTACGATCTACTGACAGAATAGCGGGCAATGTGCTACCAGAACTCAAGGATGGAGATCCAGTTATGATTCATGATGGCATGCTACAGTTAGTCATCACGCACCGAGGTCATACATTCTGCAGAACCCTGACAGCAAACTTTACAGAAGGAATCGGAAAATGCTCAGACCAACGCAGTCAACTCCGTTATTGAGGAATATTCCGAAGGAAAACTTTCAGCCATTTGCAAATGCTGATATAATTCCAACTCGATCAAGACCACCGGTTGAAGTCCCAAAACCCACTACTTCATCTGTCGCAAATCCTTCCAAATCTGTCGAGTCGAATTCATATGCGTGTTCCATCCCTCAGCAAACAAGATCTGGGCGCATCGTCAAAGTACCTGCCAAGTATTCTGATTGTGAAATGTGATTGTGAAATTTAATGAATTTGAGTTCTTTATGTTTTCTTTCAAGGGGCAGAATAATCCCCACATATGGGTTGAAGGTAGTATGCATAGTGGATAGCTTTTGACTGTCTAGATCCCCAAGACCATGATACATCTTTAGATAAGAGTTCATGTAATGGCTGTAGTACAATTGACAATTTTGGTAAGTAGCAATCATAATAGTTAAGCATTCCAAGGAAGGCCTGTAGTTCTTTGATGTTACTAGGTTCAGGTAAGTTCTTGATAGCTTGCACTTTGTCTTCAGTTGGCTGCCGTCCAAACTTGTTTATGCGATGCCCAAGGTATGTAACTTCATCGGCCATGAACACACATTTTTCTTTTTTAAGTCGAACTCCTGCTTTTTCCAACTTCTGTAACACTTGTTCAAGATTCTGTAAATGCTCATGTCGGGTTTTCCCAGTCACGTGTATGTCATCTAAGCGAACAGTAAAACTTGGTATGCCCTGAAGTAGAATGGCTATAGTTCTTTATAATATTTTTCTTCATTTTCAACAAGTTCTTTTATCATTCTGACTCGCATTTCATTGAAGTGTCTGTCTTCAATTCCATATACTAGTACACTCGCAGTTCTTGGAAGGCAGTTACCATCCCCATACACACTAGCTGAGTATAAAAATTATTTGGTAGTCAGCTGGCAATAGCTTAAGAGCTTTACTGTCCATGATAAGTCCATGTGATATGAATGTAACTTTAGGTAGTTTCAGAATTGGAGGAAATTCTGTTGCAAACTCTGTTACTTTGATTTGAATGTCATCAAAGGTTGTAAACGACTCCAATTTCCCCCAAGCTGATTCTACAATAGTGCCATGGACTTCTTTAATCAACCTTCCATCATGTTCATTAAAGTCAGTCACAAGGATGTTTGGTTCTGGTACAGACACTTCAGGTTCTGACTCAGAGACTTCTGCTCTTTTCACTTCTGCATTCTGTCTCCTTCTGCATTTTTTCTTTGAGACATCTAGTTCTTCTGGTTCTGACTCGGAGACTTCTGATCTCTCCACTTCTGCATTCTTTCTCCTTCTGCGTCTTCTCTTAGAGACATCTAGTTTTTCTGTCTCTGACTCGGAGACTTCTGATCTCTCCACTTCTGCATTCTTTCTCCTTCTGCGTTTTCTCGTTTCCTCTCCAAAGGTGTTTACAATTACTACCTTTTGAAGGTAAGGATTCACATAACTTTCATTTAAACAAGAAGCTGTGTAACTCTCACACCCGTTGCAAAAACAAGACAAGTTTCTGAACTTCAGTGACCCCTGCTGTACTCCATAATTCAACACCTGGTGAAATTTTTAGCGTTCCAACAACCATCTTTGCTTCCTTACCCCTTCCTCCTCCAGGTCTTTGGATTTCATTTTCTTTGACTAAAAAGAACCTTCGTTTTGTCAATAATTCATCAACTGCAAGGTATGCATTGCAGTATTCAAACATATCACTTGCATTATTGATTGTTACTTTATTCCCTACTAATGGCTCTGTCTAACAGTTTATTGACTATTCCAATCTCAGAATCACATTCTGATTTTCCATGCTCTGACCCAAAAAAGTTTCTATCACTTCTTTCAGTGAGGAAGTCAAATCAGAGAAAGGTCCCTTCGATTTATATTGAGCACTACAACCATCACTATACACGATCTTCCTTCTGAATTCAGTTTCGTTTAATTGTAAGTGATTATCGACTTTGGCTTCATAGTGATGAACTGCATGATAATCATGCAGATTATCGTCAGAGATGATAATGCTAGCATCCCTCACAATGCCACCTTTAACTCGGTAAAAGGAAACAATAGGGTGCATGGTGATTTGTTGGTTTGAATAAAATGCAGCCTTGATCTCATTTTGGTATTTAACTTCTCGATTTTTTGCAAAGTCCATTATCTGTAATACATCACCTTCTGGAATCTTGTTCTTTTAGATTTTGAAATTGCAAAGACTGCCATTGGGCTGTGAATAAGTGCTGCAGAAATGTTGTTCCAAGTGATGATTCCTTTATGTCTTCATTGACAAATTCTGTAATCAATTCAAGAACACTTCCTCTCTTTGTCTTGACAATACGCTTTAGGAATCCAGAAGCATTTCTTTCCTTTTCCCACCTATTCCAGGAAAGGGTCTTCGCGTTGGGAATGTCATGGAAAAGGTCTTGTATGGTTTTCAGGTAGTCTCCGCATTTCGGACAGCTTCCGTTTATGCACCCTGGTGCATAAAATCTATTACAGTCAGATTTTCCACAAAGCATTATTTCAAACAAGTCATTCTCATTTGTTTTTTTTACTGATTTGCTTGCTTTACTTAGGGCTAAGAGTTTGAAGCGAACATTAACACAAAATACATAACAACAGTATTCTCTATGGCTACTGGTATTCAGTTTCCGCACATTCTTTGGGCGGAGGGAAGCAAATTTTGAAAAGCCTTTAGCAGCCAAAGGATTTTCTTTTATGAATTGAGCAAAAGCAACCTTTTGTCACTTGCATAGCATATTCTGGTCCTTCCTTTGTTGCATACCTTTTCTGAGGAAGAACTCTAGAAATGTCTTCTCTTTTATAGAAGCTTCTAACATAATCTTCTTTCACATTTATTCTTCTGATTGGTTTCCCATTTCTTGCCTTCATTGATTGTTTCATCTTTCTTTTTAGAATAACTCTGCTGTTTTTAATTAGTAACTTTGCTGTTGTTAATAATGCCGATTTTTTGCCTTTTATGTGAATGAGATGATTCCTCTGACCCACTTTTGTCTTCTCTCCTATACTGTCATCTCGTCTTGCTTTCTTTACAAAGCGGTACTCGTAATCTTTGTACAAACACTTCCTCTTTCGAGAATTTATCATCAGATTTTCGACAACTTTCTCAAATTTCTGTGGTGTTAAAGGCATCATGCTTCTAACTTTGCTTGTGATATTCCACTCTGTTTTTTTGGTTAGAAATGGGGACTCTCCTATATTATTATATTCATCTTGTCTTCCAACTCCTTCTCTCTTTTCTTTCCTTTCCTTTCCCTGTGCTTTTTATCACCCACATTTTCTTTTGATAAGTCATTCGTGCTCTCTCTTCTCTTTTCTTTAATCTATTATATTCCCTTTTTTCACACAGTGCCTTTCTAGTAACTGGCTTTTCAAAATTTTCTGGTGTTTTCTTGTAGTTACTTTCTGTCTCCTTTAATTTTGAAATGTATTTCTTTTGTCTCTCTTCGCTTTTTTAGCTGTGTTTTTCTTACCTCTGTGGCATTGGGATTACCTTTATTACACTCCTTTTTCTGACTTCTTCTGTAATTTAGTGAACGAGCCCTTTGTTTTTTAAGATATTCGGCATAAGCTTGTGGATTTTCAACCTTCATTTTCCTCCTCCATAACGTACTCCTTGATACTTTCTCCTCAGCAGTAGTTATACCTACAATTACATTCTAACTAATATACAAAACCAGTGCACGACATCTGTGAGCAGATACATAAATGATACAAAGATTGGTTACTCAAGTAAATATTTAAACATGATTTATATAATTTATATCAGTTCCAGCTCATTTATGAAAACTTGTTGTACTCCAGAAATATTTTATTGAAGTGAATCACACCATAAAATATGTATAGCTAAACGTAGCGTATAATTACAAAATTGTATGTTTTCTTTCTTGCACTAAACAGATAGGTAGATACAGCAACTTTGTGCTCACCCAAATGGTAAGACAGTTGAAAATTCCATTTACTATTGAACTTAAGTCCATAATACTACAATTACCTGTCTTGGTAGGAATTACTGGTTTTCTGTCTTCCATTTTCAGGATCCTAAAAGGTGAGATGAAACTTGGATTGGGCAGGCATCTATACGTACAGCGTACCTTTAGTCTGAACCTCAACAGGAATCCCTTTGGCAAAACGCACAGACTGACAGAGACGAGGGGCATGAAAAGAGGATGCCAAGTTTTTTTATTAATACAATTAATACAAAATGTTGGTGCAGATATGTTGATTGCCTATTTCTCGGCTTTTATTGTTGCAAATGATGTATTCTGTTGTAAATATTCAACAGTGAAAAGTATGTCCATAGAAGCTTGCTTTACAAAGTTCCTTTACATGACCCACTTTTATATTCTATTATTATTATACTAACACATAAATATTGCAATGAACAATATATGTATGTAAGTTTAAAAATGCTACAGAAATTGAATAGAAAAAAGGACAGAATGTTTTAATATAGGGAAGATAGGATTCATACAGGTGACTCTCGATGACTCGAACTCCGATCTCTCGAAGTTCTCGATCTCTCGAAGTGAACCTCCGGTCCCGTTTTTTTCCTCTATATAACTAAGCAAATTTACTCCTGATCTCTCGAACTTCTATCTCTCGAAACTCTCTATCTCTCGAACCAAGACCTGGGTCCCGTTACACATATTTCATTGATTTTTACTTTATATCTCTCGAAGTTTTGATTGCGCGTGTAAACACGCCAATCAAGCGTAAAATTGATGCAGTCTGGACTTACCTGGAAGACAGTGAACGCCTAGGGCTAGCATGGAGGCGTTAATTGGGTGTTTACATAGGTGACACTACACCTGTGGGTCCTCCATGTGTTTATAAAGTTAATTGGTTATAATAGGTAAATTATAAACGAAATCACAACTTATTTGTACTTGAATCGGAGACGACAATTTTTAGAAAATAATTTAAAGACGTTCGTTTCAATAAGTTCCCATAGACTATGAACTTTTATTAGAGTCTACATAATCCCAGTATGGCAAATATTGCACAAGAAATTCATTTCTCAAGGACTTAATACCTATTAAGAAATAACTTGTGTCAGTGGTGAGAACTGCATGGTGAAGGACCAGATGTTGAAAGCCACAGAATAGCAAAACCGATAATTGCTTTTCGGGTTTCATTTAATCATGAAATAAGAACAATTAAATTTGGAGACTTTAGGAATTCGTTTTGTTAATTCGAATTACGATTATTGTTGTTGAAATCAAGTGAATTACCTGTAAAATACGATTAAAAACGTGCAATGACTTTATTTACATAAACTTCCGGTATCTATTATAGTAAAACATCGATGATCGGAACTGAAAAATCCGGATTTTATTTATTTTCTATCTCTCGAACACCTCGATCTCTCGAACTTTTCTTGTGGTCCCTTGAACTTCGAGAGATCGAAAGTCACCTGTATTTATAAACATGCATTACACCAATTAGACATTCAAACGAAATGGCCTTTCACCACTGCATTTCAGTGAGAAGTATTCTGTGGAGCTGGACTCATATAGGGCCAAGCTTCCAGAGACAAAACAGAGACAATTTATCATAAAGCAGGAGAGACTCACAGATAAAGGGGCCTAAGAGGCTACCAAGGGCTCAACATACCAATCGGGTACACTTAATACTTACATAACCAAGTATGTGTATTAATTATGATGCACTTGCATATAAACAGAAAACTCATAATCATTTGTAATAATCTATTACAGAGATTGGTCTGAGCACTGATGTGAGCATAACCAGAGGGCCTGATGCCACTGTAAAGTCCTCATTTTCTCCAGTACAGCTTAGTAAACCATTTTGTAGTCATCAATTTGGAGACAACAGGACTGAGTAAGATTTTGTTAATAATTCACAACCTCTACCAATTAAAAACAAGAGGCCCAGGCGCCACATCGCTCACCTGAGCAATTTTCTAGGAAAAAGCACATATCAGATCCGAACTGAAAGTTTACTGAGTTGGGGGGGGGGGGGGGGAGGAGAGGGCTTGAATTTTAACCTCATAGGGGGTCATGGTTTGAACAAACATGAATCTACACTACCTGAGGATGATTCCATAAAAATATCACAAAGCATTGATTTGAAGTTGTTGAAAAGATTTTCAAAGGTTTCCCTATATATTCCTATGTAAAACTTTGATCGTTCATTTTGGCCCCACACTACCTCCCGGGGTCATGATTTGAACAAACTTGAATTTACGCTACCTGAGGATGATTCCACATGAGTTTCATCTTTCCTGGCCTAGTGGTTCTGGAGAAGAAGATTTTTAAAGATTTTTCCTATATATTCCTATGTAAAACTTCGGTCGGCCATTTTGGCCCCACCCTTGCCCTGGGGGTCATGATTTGATCAAACTTGAATCTACACTACCTGAGGATGATTCCACATGAGTTTCATCTTTCCTGGCCCAGTGGTTCTGGAGAAGAAGATTTTTAAAGTTTTTTTCTTATAAACAATGTAAAACTTGGGTCGGCCATTTTGGCCCCACCCTTGCCCCGGGGGTCATGATTTGAAAAAAACTTGAATCTTCACTACCTGAGGATTATTCCACATGAGTTTCATCTTTCCTGGCCTTATGGTTCTGGAGAAGAAGCTTTTTAAAGATTTTTCCTATATATTCCTATGTAAAACTTGGGTCGGCCATTTTGGCCCCACCCTTGCCCCGGGGGTCATGATTTGAACAAACTTCACGCAAGAGACACATGTGACCGACGTCACTCGTTTCCTACTAAGAAAGGATCTGCTGTTCTCTAGACTAACAAATTTCAATGATAGGCCCGAATCCTATAGTGCATGGAAACACAGTTTTTTGAGTGGAACAAGTGAACTACAAATCTTGGACTCAGAGCAGATGGATCTTCTCATCAAATACTTGGGGCCCGAGTCAAAAAAGCATGCTGTCAGCATCAAAACATCCAACATCTACAACATCTCCAGAGGATTGAAAAGACTTTGGGAAAGACTGGATGAACGCTACGGTGCACCAGAACATGTTGAGGCTTCAATAAGAGCAAAACTTGACAACTTTCCCAAACTAAGTAACAAAGATTATCAAAAACTCTACGAACTGTCAGACATTCTTATGGAGATGGAATTCTTAAAGGAAGACCCCAAATACAATGCTCTGTTAGCATATCTTGACTCATCATCAGGGATTAAGACTATTATATCCAAACTACCGTACGGCTTATAAGAGAAATGGACCAATAGAGCTGTAAAGTATAAGAAAGAACACAGTGTTATATTTCCCCCATTTCAAGTGTTCATGGAATTCATAAAGGAAGTAAGCAAGGTGAAAATGACCCAGGATTCAACTATGAGCCAGACACAAACAGCACCAAGAAATTTGCTGCTCCAAAACTACTTAGTTACGCAAGAAACAAGGTCAATGTGAACAAGACAGGTGTTGACGTAACTACTCCACTTGAACGTTGTATCATCCACAAGACCAAACATACTCTAGATGACTGTAGATGATTCCGGTCCAAGTCAATAGAGGAAAGGAAGAGACTCTTGAAAGAAAACAACATATGCTTCAGATGTTGTGCTTCTAACGCTCACAAAAGTCGCGAATGCAATGCTGTTATCTACTGCAAAGAATGTGGGAGCAAGAACCATACAACTGCCCTGCATCTTACCAGAAATGACAAAGTGGTTTCCATGGATTCTCATGCAACTCGTCAAGCGAATGGCGGGGAGGAAACCAACCGCATTCCTATTTCATCATTGAAGGACAACGGCGGGGAGTCAAGAGGTAAAGTGTCCAACAGTGTGTCAGAGGTCAACTCAAGCTGCACAGAGATATGCAGAGAACCTTACAGTGGAAAGTCGTGTGCCAAGATCTTGCCCGTTCATGTGTTTCATCGTGACAATCCACTCAAGTCAGTAAAGATGTACGCAGTGATTGATGATCAGAGCAACCGCTCATTAGCTTCTCCAGAATTCTTTGAGTTGTTTGGTGTGAAAGATAAACCCCAAAACTATACCATATCGACCTGCTCGGGCAAAGTTGTCACTTCTGGAAGAAGAGGAAAGGGGTTCATTGTGAAATCGATAGAAGGTGATGTAGACTTTGAACTACCAACCCTGATCGAGTGCAACCATATACCAAACAATCGCCATGAAATACCCACTCCTGAGGTCACTTTCCATCATGAACATTTTACAGAAATTGCTGGGTACCTTCAACCACTTGATGCAGAATGTCACATACTTTTGCTGATTGGACGTGATTTAATCGAAGCCCATCATGTTCTACATCAAATCTTTGGTCCACCCAAAGCTCCGTATGCACAACAACTCAAACTTGGCTGGGTTGTTATTGGAGAAACTTGTCTCAACATGCAGCATACCTCGCATGATCTAAGCGTGAAGAAAACTTACCTTCTACCAACTGGTCAGCCTTCGACTTTGAAGCCATGCAGCAACAAGTTTGAGGTACGAGAACTAGTGAGTCAGTCTTTGTCTGATGAGTCACAGCTATTTATCAGGACAAAGGATGATGACGAACAAGGCATGTCAATAGAAGATAAAATGTTCTTACAACAGATGGACAGTGAATTTATCAGAGACTCCTCAGGAAGTTGGGTGGCCCCACTGCCATTTCGGGAGAATCGACAACGATTACCGAACAACAAGGAACAAGCTGTTCAACGTGCAAAACTCCTTGATGTAAGCCTAAAGAAGAACCCTGTGAAAAAAGAACACTTTCTTACATTCATGGCTAAGATTCTGGACAATCATCATGCAGAAGTTGCCCCAGAGTTACGTGATGGAGAAGAATGTTGGTTTCTACCCCTATTTGGTGTTTACCATCCCAAAAAACCCGATCAAATCAGGGGTGTGTTCGATTCATCAGCGATATTTAAAGGGGTCTCCTTAAATGAAGTTCTTCTCTCCGGACCAGATTTATCAAACAGCTTACTTGGCATTCTTCTAAGATTTCGCAGGGAAATGGTTGCTGTGACTGCCGATGTGCAACACATGTTTCACTGTTTCTTAGTAAGGGAAGACCATCGTAACTTCCTCAGGTTTTTGTGGCACAAGGATAATGACCTTGACAAAGAAATCATTGAGTATAGGATGAGGGTACACGTCTTTGGTAACCGACCCTCACCTGCCGTCGCAACACTCGGACTTAGAAAGGCAGCTGAAGCAGCAGAACCGAGCTATGGAGATCATGTTACCAACTTTGTAAAAAATGATTTTTACGTTGACGATGGGTTGACTTCCTGTCCAACCAGTGCAGAAGCTGTTCGCATTCTCAAGGATACTCAGAGCGCCTTGAAGGAATCTCCGGCTCCATAAATTTGCCTCCGACAGTCCAGAAGTTATGTCAGCCTTTGCAGCTGAGGACCTAGCAACAAATCTGAAGGACTTGGATCTGCAAGCGGAAGATATGCCTCTACAGCGAAGCCTCGGTTTGGGCTGGGATGTCAACAGTGACACCTTTGTCTTTCAACTGTCGAAGGACCACAAACCTGCCACACGAAGAGGTTTACTTTCAACCGTCAACGGGATTTATGACCCTCTAGGCTTCTTAGCACCAGTGACTATTTATGGTAAACTCTTACTCAGGAAACTTATACTTCAAACTCAAGACTGGGATGAACCTCTCTCTGAGGAACTAACATCTCTTTGGAATTCCTGGAAGGATTCTTTAGATGCACTTGAGGACCTACATATCCAACGGACATATGTGACCAATCTCAGCAAAGTTATGAGAAAAGAGCTTCATGTGTACAGCGACGCATCTGAAAAGGCCATAGCAGCTGTCATTCATTTGCGCACCACAGATAGTGACGGACAGTCCAAAGTTGGATTTGTGTTGGGCAAGGCCAAAGTCGCACCCATGAGTGGACACACTATCCCACGACTGGAATTGTGTGCATCGGTGTTAGCACTTGAGATTGCACAGTGTGTTCTGAATCACCTTGACATACAAATAGACTCTGTGAAGTATTACACTGATAGCAAAGTAGTCCTGGGCTACATCTGTAATGAGTCTAGGAGATTTTACATCTATGTTGGCAACAGAGTGGACCGCATAAGAAAGTTTACAACTCCAAGCCAATGGAACTACTTGTCTACTGATCGGAACCCTGCAGATCTAGCAACGAGATGTCTACCTGCACATGAGCTTCAAGATAGCGCTTGGTTGCAAGGACCAAAACAACTTCATGTCATTAAACGTGAGGAACAGAATGAGAATGGACATCCGCTCATTGAGCCAGATGAAGATAAAGAGATTCGCCCTATAGTTTCATCCATGAAAACCTGCACCGCAGACAATGATGGTGAACAACCTTGCACTCCAATGACTCAACGATTCCAGCGATTCTCTGATTGGAGAAGACTTGTGGTAGCCATGAACTTTCTCAGACACATGCTTTTCAAGTTTAAAGGCAAAGACATTGATCTTAACACTGTGACCGAAAGGTACCAGGACACAGAGCATTTTGTGATTCGAATAGTGCAGTCTGAGATGTACTGTGAGGAGATTGACTGCATACGACGAGATGAGCCTCTACCGAGACGAAGCCCAATAGCCAACCTTAATCCATTCTTAGATGATCAGGGCTTTCTACGCGTAGGAGGTCGAATAGTCAACTCAAAATTGACCTTGCAAGAGAAGAGACCATTGATTATTCCTGGACGCCATCATATAGCAACCCTATTGGTTCGACACTATCATGAAAATGTCAAGCACCAAGGGCGTCATTTCACCTAAGGAGCTATCAGGGCAGCTGGACTTTGGATAACAGGCGCCAAACGACTTGTTTCCTCGATTATCCATAAATGTATCACATGCAGAAAACTCAGGGGGAAGACACAGTATCAGATCATGGCAGACCTACCTGCAGACCGCCTTGACCCAGGGCCACCTTTCACAAATGTAGGTGTAGATGCATTTGGACCTTGGGCTATAGTCTCACGTAAGACCCGAGGAGGTAGTGCCAACTCCAAGCGCTGGGGAATATTGTTCACCTGCTTAACCACAAGGGCAGTTCATATTGAACAAGTAGAAGAAATGAGTTCATCTGCATTTATCAATGCTGTCAGAAGATTCACTGCCATAAGGGGTCACGTAAAGACTTTCCGTTCTGACCAGGGCACAAACTTTGTGGGGGCCGTAGACGACTTGCACATTGATGCCATATATGTGAATGATGAACCACTGAAGAGGTATCTACACAATTCTGGTACTGTATGGATCTTCAATGCGCCCCATGCCTCCCACATGGGTGGGGCATGGGAAAGAATGATCGGCGTCATCCGTAAAATCCTCAACTCAATGCTGATTGATGTCAGTGGAAAAACCTTGACCCATGATGTGCTGAACACATTTATGGCAGAGGTCTGTGCGATCATTAATTCAAGGCCTCTTGTTCCTATATCCACTGATCCAGATTCCCCATTGATACTGACTCCAGCAATGCTGTTGACACAGAAGACAGAGTACGAGTTCAAGGCCAATTCACTCGGAGAATTTGGTGACCGTGACATGTTCAAGCTAGTGTATTCTGGTCGCGATGGAAGAAGGAGTATTTACCACTACTTCAGAGTCGTAGGAAGTGGACCAAGAATCAGCGTGACATAGCAGAAGGAGACGTAGTGCTTATAAAGGACAAGAGCGTTGAACAGAACTGCTGGCCTATTGGTTTAGTCTTGAAAGCCTTCAAGAGTTCTGATGACCATGTGCGAAAAGCTGAAATTCGTACCGTTGTGAATGGAAAGCCTACAGTGTACATCAGACCAGTTGTTGACATGATACTTCTCATTGAAAGTGAAGTTGTGTAAGTCTGAGAATGTGTTGACAGACTACCGGATTACTTGAAACTGTTTTTGAGTAACCATTGATTTGTCATCGTTATTGAGAGATCATTGATTTTGTAATACTCTTTTATATTAGTTTGTAATTTTTGATAGTGAAATCTTGAGATTTCAGACGGGGAGTGTTCTGTCTATTGTTTCTATTATTTTCTAGTCATAAGAATTTTTGTTTTACGACTATGTCAGTTAGACTTAGGTCAATACGAATGTTTTAAGTACGAGTTAATCTTATGTGTTTATGCCGCCATACTGCTCAGCAAGTTAATTTTCCACCTGTTGAACGCCTGTAATCCACGGTGTAAGTAGTTTAAAGTCTTCATACTGTGTTTATTCTTTAGATATAATCATCCTACACTTGTTTGTTTAATGTCAACTATGCATATTTACGCAGTTCTGCATAATTTACAAATAATATTTTGCCATGTGCTTAGAGTATGGTGCGCTATTTCTGTCATCGTTTAAAGTCGATAATTTACTAGTCTGTAATTGTCTTAAAAATGTATTTTATGAAAGAAATTTGATATTAATGATAAAGTTACAGTTAGTTAATGATGTCTAAGAGATTGTACTTAGCTGTGTAATTTGTTTATATTACATGAATCCTGTTTTGAGAAATTTTTGTATGGAAAGCAGTATCTGTCATTACTTACAGTGGTTTTTTATTTACCAACACACACATCACACATGTGATTTAGGGGTTATCTATCTGTCAAATAAAACTTTCTAAAGGATCTGAAAGACTTCTTATTGTGGCAGAATAGTAACCACGGCAACACCGTTCATCAAAAACCGATATACAGGATTATGTTTCTTAGCATAGTCTACTTGTGTGCAAAGTTATCCTGAAATCAGAGCAAAACTGTAGGAAGAGTAGCATTTGTTTACAGACAGACGGACGGACGCATTACTAAAAAAAATCGCAGAGCCAACATAAGCTAAAACTTTGTTGAAGGATTTTTAGCTCACCTCGACGACGTTGGGGGGAGCTTATGTGATACCCTCGGCGTCGGTGTCCCGGGTTAAGGGTTAAAGTTTTTAGCTCACCTGAGCTGAAAGTTCAAGTGAGCTTTTCTGATCACCCGGTGTCCGTCGTCCGTCCGTCCGTCCGTCTGTCTGTCCGTCCGTCCGTCTGTAAACTTTTCACATTTTCAACTTCTTCTCAAGAACCACTGGGCCAATTTTAACCAAACTTGGTACAAAGCATCCTTGGGTGAAGGGGAATTTAAATTGTTAAAATCAAGGTCCAAGACCCCTTCCAAGAGGAGATAATCAAGAAAATACGAAAATAGGGTGGGGTCATAAAAAATCTTCTTCTCAAGAACCACTGGGCCAGAAAAGCTGAAATTTATGTGGAAGCATCCTGGGGTAGTGTAGATATTAAATTGTTAAAATCATGACCCCCGGGGGTAGGGCGGGTCCTGTAAGCATCTCCAAATGACTGCTATCACCTGTCGTATTCCTCATTTCCACGACTTCTTGTGATATCCACAGTCAGTATACTCAAAATAAAACTACAGTACTATCCTTTTCACAATCGCATCCTCGCAGCGAATTTAACTCAGGATTAGTACAAACACTTATGACGGCCCATTAACACTGGGTCAGACGTAATCACCGTCCTTGGTATCAGACCAACGCTATATAAAATAAATGCCTCAAATTTAGTCCACGATAAATTCTAACATATTGATTCAGTGTTGCACTTTTCTCGAGATTTCAAAACTTCAAAACAAATCTAGTCAATTTTCAAATTCAATGTTTAAAAAATGTGACAATAAATCTGACGTGAACTTCATTACCATT